TTTAAGAGTTCTTTGAAAACGGACTACCCCGTTAGTTACACTGAAAGGTATATGACAAAACTGGAAAAGATTTCCGCATGCCTCAAATGCCGTGAATTTGCTTTCGGTTTCCTTGAGAGACATTCGATGATATGCGCCTTTCAGGTCCAAAGTGCTACATACTGAGTACCGTGAAATTTTATCGACAGGAGCGTCAACTCTGGACGACGGGTATGCATCCAGGTTAGTATACTGGTTGACTGTCTGACTATAATTGATAGCCATGCAGAGTTTATGGCTTTCGTGCGTAGTTATCAAAATCTGAGATCGCCACGGTGTTGCAGATGGTTCAACAATCCAGTCCTTAATAAGCTTTTGTACTTTTAGCTGTATGAATTTTTCGCCTGCGGTTGAGTGACGTCATGAGTTGGTAGCGCCGAGTTCGAAAGTAAAGGAGTCATTCCTAAACAAAGAGTGTGGAGCCACACGGCGGGTAATAGAGCACACAGGGAGAGAGGTGGTTCGCCGAAGAATAGAATTTAAAAAATGCGTGATGTTTGAGATAACGGATCTTAGTAGCAAATCTGAACAAGAATGCTAGATTATGGAAAGGTTAATGTTGGCGTAACGGCAGTTTTCAAACTTCACAGTAACAACACAATGACCGCTCGTGAAACTAGTTAGGTGGGTACTGGCCATTGAAATTTCGCAATGTGATCCGAGGATTTTCCTGTTAATCTGTTTAACTATCGACGCTGCAATGTAAGTTTTGGACCTCCCCTTATCAACTAGCGCATCCAGAGAAATGTTGTTGGTGTGCAAGTCGGTTACGGCATGAAAGAAACTGTTTGGTGAAGCTGCGACTGTGACAGCAGAGATATAACTGAGCTACTGAAGTGGTTCCTGGAAGAAGAGTAGCAGATTTGATAGTGACCTTTACTTAAGCAACCGTTATAAACAGCGTCATGTGCAGGGCACTGAGACCAACTAAGTCACTTGAACACACAGAAGAACAGCTGTTGTGTGACACAGCAGCGGCCACGCCCTTATCAGAGAGTGATGAGTCAGGCGTTGTTTCCGATGGATCTGATTGGTGTGTGGTGTGGTGGGATTTTGCAAACAGAAGGACGACACGAGTTACATGGAAAAACAAGCGGCTAGCGTATCGCAAGAGAACAGAGCAGTTGCTTGGACAGCTACGTATATTTCGTCTGCACGTTGATTGGTTCGATGGAGCGGGTTTGTTTAACTGATGCAAAGGATGGATCTCATGAGTGCAGCAGCGTCGTTAGTTATGAAAATGACTTAGTTATTTATATCGAGGTTCCTACATGCTTGTCATGCTGTCATTTTTGCTGAGCTCGCTTTGCCGAATAAACCGTTTGTCCCTGAAGGACCGAGTTTTGCGACATGTGGTAGATGTATCGTATGTGCTTTCCGATTGATATGACAGTGACAGATATTAAGTTATTTCCAGGGATCGGGACTGTTCAAAAGCAGTGTGGAGATCAAGGGACACATTTTGCATGTGGCGCTGACGTATCATTTGAGACTGCAGCCCAGTTATAAAGACATCCCGAATGGTATCCTCACAGTTTTTCTCTGCTGTTACCGTTTTGAGGTTGCTGTCCTGAGTCAGTGACTTTAACTTTTGCATGAGTTTGTACAGGCCATCGCTCCCTTGTTGCCTGCTGGTAGCAAGTAGTTAGCGTATGAATATTTCATGTGTTGGCTTGATGTATATATTCCTTGGTGTTTCGATGGCAAGTTGGTATGTTAAACACTCCTTACTGTACTTGTAAACATTAGGGGATATGTAATTCGCGAGCTTCCTTAATTTTTTAGACGATAAAAGATCAGTGTCCAAAATATAGGTAAAAGTATCAACTCGGTATGTCGCCTGATTCGCAAGGTTGGCATTGTTGGGATTACCATCGAAACGTTCCGGTCGTAGAATTCGGTTCAGTAGTGGCTGAGTAAATTGTTACATGAACAAACGTGATAGAAACATGCCGAGTGAGATTGTGTATGGCCCGAAGGAATGGACTTTATTCAGCAAAATATCCGAGGTGAATAAGTTGAAAAGAAGTATAGTAAGTTTGTAATAACAATGCATAAGTGATTGTGGGTTATATTTCAAGTATATAAGAAGTACAAAGTATCACGAATTCGAGCATGCTCCAAAACTCAGCCTTAGGGACCCTCAGTCCAAATGTGATGCATGAACTGGGATGCCAAGGACAGAGCCGAATTCCTTAAATTCAAATGCAAATGTGACAGGAACAAAAGTAAATTCCCATGGTTGTTCCATCCAGTGTGACTCGTTGATCCACATTAGAATGCGATGGCAAGATCGGCCAGTTGTGGGAGCCGAATCAACACGTACAAATTAAATCATCGTCAACCAAGCAAAACGCACGTGCCCTGCGCTAACAGTCCCCGCAGCGCCGGCCGTGTGGAATAAAAACAGAAAAGAAAAGTGTAGACTAGATTTAAAGTGGAAGGGCCCGAACGAGGAAAATGAAGAGAAAGTTAGTAAGAGTGAATAAAAAGGAAGATAGCTGGGGTGCAAACAGAAAATAAATTAAGAGAAGGGGAAGATTCGGAACAGCAAGTTGAGGGCGTCGATGCGACGTTTAAACTCTGTCACCGTGGATGACAAGACTACGTCCTCAGGGAGCGCGCTCCAAGAGTCCATCACTCGGCGAGACAAACGAATGTCCATCCGAACCCGATCTGATCTGAGTTTGTGCAATTGCATCGGATACGCGCTGAGAATAGGTAGCCGTATAGGATGAAAAAACAAAGAGAGGTCTGGACCTATCTGTCTTGTCAGTATACGATAAGTAAGAATCAGGTCGCTACGAAGACGACGATAATGTAACCAAAACATCCTTAGCTTGAGCAACCTGGAAGGATAGGACACGTGGCGCAACCCGTGGAATATTTTGGTTCCGATTCTCAAGACCCTGTCTACCGCCATCCTGTTACGAGTCAGGCAAGGAGGATAAGCCTGGATACAATACTCCAGGTGCGGTCTAACAAAGGCAGTAAACAATTTAACAAACAGTTATTCTGTTAAAGTCCCAAATGGTCTACGGATAATCCAGAAGGTTCGGAAACCCCTGCAAGATGTTTTCTTCCACTTATCGATGGATGTAAACTCCTGAGACAAAGTGATCCCTAAGTCAATTACTTGGGATATGTGAGGAATTTCATTATCACCAAGCAGTAGTGCGTTGTCGGACTATTTGAGCCTATGTGCAAAACTGAAGACTTGCTTTAGTTTCTTGGCATCTGCCACAAAATGGACCAATCAAGGAGTCTGTCAAGAGCCTGTTGCAGAACTTGGGATCCATCGGTGTCGTTCACTGGGAACCAAAACTTCAAATCCTCGGCGAACATGAGGGTAGGCAGCCCCAGCACGTTTGGCAGTTCATTTACGTAGATGGCAAATAGACGTGGACTAAGTACTGATCCCTGCTGAACACCGTTCAAACGGCCTGTCGGAAAGAAAGACTAGAACCTACCCGAACACACATCTCTCGCCCTTCGAGAAATGCGGATGGCCATCAAAGCGCGTGTTCGGAAACTCAGTAGGAACGGAGGTTAAGAGAAAGAGGAGTATGCGGGACAGAGTAAAGCGCTTTAGAGAAGTCAATGAATAGCGCATCCACTGATTGACCCTGATCGACAGACTCCGCCTAACTTTTCCGAGTAACCATCAAGTTGGTCAGATAGAAGTACCCTTTGCGAAAATCATGCTGAGATAGGCTGAGAAGGCCAAACATTCTTAAATGGTTTTTGAGGGCATCCGGCACCAGGTTTTCTAGCAAGTTAACCAGAACACAGGTTAGACTGACAGGTCAGTTTAAAGGAGGACGCTTAGCTCCTTTTTTAAAGATGGGGCAAACGGAGGCTTGCTTCAAGTTGGTGGGTGAGGTGCAACTGGTAAGGGACTTCTCAAACAGGCAAGCTACGGGCCCAGGAATTTTATTTTCCAGTTCACATAACAATGCTGGATAATAACGAGAAATAATAATAATGTGTCAGCTGTATTCCAGAAGGGATGGAGGTGAGGTCCTCTGCAAAGCACTGACCTCCCTATTCGAACGTATCTGGAACGAAGAGTGTGCCGGCTAATTGGAGTGAATCGATTATAGTGACAATATACAAGAAGGGCAGTCGCACAGACTGTGCGAACCACAGGGGTATTAGCCTAACGCCAGTTGTGACAAAATTACTGGCCTTCATTATCGTACGTCGCCTCACTGCGGAACGGGAATCTCGCATAAGGGAAGAGCAGGCCGGTTTTCGCCCAGGACGTGGCTGTATAGACCATATATTCACTTTGCGG